TAGATTACTAGGCTACCACCATGACGTCCTGTCATAATGACCTTTCAAGATGTCAGCCGAAAATAAATTGTTACAATATCAATAAATTTGTACTTGTGAAAAATATGTTTGAAGACTAAAATATTGCAGAATAGATTGGATAAATAACAATTTTGATGATGAGTCAGTAAACAGCGGTAAATAATTTTTGTTGTTGTCGGTTTTATCACGAAAAGCCGGATATGTACGCGAACTGTTAACAAAACAACATTGAGAAAAACAAATCTGACAACAAACCAAAACCAAATCAAGAAAAATTATAGATTTTGTAAAAAGTTTGTTTGTCTATATTTGACTTACATATTGCTTAATCAAATTRCATCCCATTTCCCCAAAGTCGACGTCATTTGATTTGTATTATATACAGTTGTCTTTTGAGTCAAATTATGAGGAATTGCGTCAGATTTTCTAAAGTCACATGATATATGACGTAAGATACTGTGGTTGACGAAATCTTTGATTCAAAGCAATACACCCCACTCTAACTCGGCTAGAGGGGAAGTTTCGGTCATTCTAAAGATTAGTGTGAGATTCATAATTAAATCGGTTAAAATTTGTCCGAGGTCAATAGTTTTGATAACGCTTACGGAAATATACTGCCCAAGGAATTATTAACAAATTAAAAATCATTTACTAGCAAACCGATGATAAATAGCAATATTTCTTTAATGTTTTGATTACTGGTCCGTAGCTGAATGTTTTTACAGATACGCAGTGCAGATATATGTATTTTTGAAATACTTACTGTCCCATGATACATCAGTATATCCACCAAAGATGTAACTACCAACACGAACAATGGTAACTGTTGGTCCTCTGTTGTCACACTGGGGGTGGAATGTATAATCCACATCCCATCCATCGCTAGCAGCTCTCCAACATCTTATCCAACGACTTCTACTTGAATCTTGAAGTACAGGACTCAGATAACTGGACAGCTGCTGCAGATAGTTGTTGTTGCCATAGTCACGGAGAATAATGGAATCCTTAAGTTCAACTGAAATTAAACAATGTTATGTACAAGCGTAAATAATCTATATAATACAGCGAAGAAAATCTAAAACAAAGTTGACAATTAAAAGCCAAACACTTCATGACCGAAAATGTCTCATGCTTAATGAATGCACACACAAAATTGATCTCAAGCTCAAGAGGGTGAGCTGCATTATTGATTTCAAAGTTACATGTGAGATCGACAAGGATAAGGGGGTACTCCCAACTCGGTCGTACATGTCAATTTGCGAATTTCATTAGTTTAACACAAAAGAATCAAGACGAGACGGC